GTCAGAGGGGTAGAAGACAACAAAATATGTCTTCAGCTTTGCAGTCTGTGAACTCCACATCCCCAAGAAATTGAAGTTCACGAAGAATATGACTGAAGGCGAAAGAGCTGCTGGATTTCAATGGTGAAGGTCAGATGAAAAGCACATATGTGGACACACGTCGTCTTCTGCTCCATTTCAGGCTGTGCTTGCAAACCGTGCGAGGGTGAGGTGGCTGCATATATTTGGTCACACACTTTTCTCTCCTCGTTCACACTGCATCTTCGTAAGGCTTCTTCCACCTTTGCAGAAATCTGGTGTTGCCATTTCATTCTTTCACTTTGCTGGAAAATAACTCCAAGGGCAAATTGACCGTGAAGCCATACGGAGTGCCCCCTCAAGATGGGGGGGTGGGGAAGAATGAAATACAATCAAGCACTCACAGCGGAGGAAATTAAGTGTTGGCAAAGCAGCGGGTGCTGATTCTGATCGAGTGCGCACAGGAATGCTAATGGAACTTAATCGTTTGTGAGGATCCTCTGCCCTGTGCTGCCTGTGGCGACTCTGGGGCCCTGGGAAGGGAGAGACACATGTCCACTTAAAAGGAGGGACCCAATGCGCACAGCCAAAGGGAACCATGGAGGCTCCTGGCATTGTGGACATGTACACAGCCAGTGACATTGAGGCGGGCGGAGGCTGCAACATATTGAACTTGGCAAAGAACCAGGCTCTTGGGCTAAGAGACTACCAGCAGTTTTGTAGACTAGTGTTAGCAAGAGGGTACAGAATGCCCGGCTAATTGCTTCCATGAACAATTGGTTCTTTTGCCATGAGACCAGACAGCCTCCTGGCCTCTCTTTTCCTGTCTTCTGAGCTTTCTCCCCTTGTGATCTTGTATCTTGATCATTCTAAGGGCTGAGTACCCTCTTGGGGCCATTGTTCACTGAAAGGCTCGTCTATTGTTTGGCCGAAAATCATGTCACAAAACTGAATTCAATTCCAAGTTCAAAGGGTGTGACTCAAGGGTTCCACCAATCCCTACCTGACAACTCAGAGCAAAACCCACTGCTGTCAAGGCTGACTCACGGCAAGCCTCCATCCAGTTGCTGGGGCTTTAAACCTTTACAGGACGAGACTGCCCATCCTTCTCCTTCAAAGCAGCTGGTGGATCTAGACCACTCATCTTTTAGTGAGCAGCCTGACGTGTTATGTTCTACGCCACCAGATTGGCAGGGCTGGCCATTTCTGGGATTTTGTGTTTTGTTCCACATTTTCTCCCTGTCTATCTATCACCCTCAACTATGATCTCTTTCAGAAAAGTGAGTAGTGACAGCTACAATCTCGTCCTTCTGGTCTCGGGGACATGGGGGTTGTTTCATAGAGTCCCCTAGCTCTATGGACTAATTGCTTGCATGCATCTTTTTTTTATTTTCACACATTTTTATCCCTGGGTAAAAAGAGAAAAACAGTTACACCTTAAATGCCTGCAAGGGAGCTCTGGCAGTCTAGTAGGTAAGGAATTGTGTTGTCAATCCAAAGGCAGGTGGTTTGAATCCACCAGCAGCTCCAAGGGAGAAAAATGGGCAATCTCCTGTGTGATTTACAGCCTCTGAAATCCACTGAAGCTACGAGTTGGTTCCAAGACCACACCACTGTATTTTGAGTTTTAGGAGGCTGCTTATAAGCTTTCAAGACCCCAGTCACTATCCCTAAAGCAGGATGTAGAATGTTGTCTTTCTGGGCCATGTCATGCCAACTGACCCTGCAAGTCCCCTGAGACTATGGCCTTGCCATCCTAGACCAATGATTCGCAACACTGAATGTCTTGATCAAAGATTCTATAGAATAAGCATGATCAAAGGGGGGGAAATACAAGAAAGAATTTTAAGTTGTCATGGAATCTAGACTTTGTGGAGCCATGGAGGCTGGCCAAAACCCTAAAGGCATTGCCCTGAGATAATCTTTAAGCCTTAAACCACAAATATGATACGAAGTCTTCTTTAAATCAACCAATAGTTCTGCTTAACCCTTTCGTGACTTGCAGAACACATAGCGTCCATCTAGATTTCCCACTTCTGGGTTTAATGAGAAATTGCTTTCCCACTGACAGTACATGCTACCACCAGCAAGCAAGAGTCACAAAGAGATGAAATGGCAACATGAGAGAGATTACCTGAGATTGTCTTCTCAGGTTATATATGAGGTTTTGCACACTGAAGGTTTGATTAGGAAAAACCTTTGTCTCTTTTGGCTTTTTTCAGTGGGAGCTCTAAGCCTTGTAAATATACTTTCTGGGTTCCTTTGCTTTCATTGGAAGCTATGTTTCTGCATCAGGAGCTCTGGTGGGGTGTCTGTAGAGAGCTGTGCTGCTACCCCAAAGGTGGTACCTGGGGCAGCCTGAATCCACCAGCTGCTCCAAGAATGAAGGATGGGCAGCCTCCTCGCCTGAGATCTACTGCTTCTGACAATCCGCTGGAGAGTCAGCTATGGGTGGGTTCTGACTCAACGGAATACAACAACATCAACTTCCATATAGTAAAACCCATATTACAACAAATTCAAGGCACACTCTGATATAGCTCACATTTTATATGTTTTTTTAAAATAATGTTTATACCGGTTTGCTTACAAAGTGCATAGACATTGTTTTTCACACTGGATCTTTTCCATTTCCTTTACTCATCCCTCCCTTCACCTGTCAAATTGTGTGGCCCTATGAATGTACCCTGGACTGCCAAGAAAACAAACACATTCATCCTAGAGAGGGTTAAACCAGGCTGCTCCTTGGAGGCAAGGATTCTGGGGCTTCATCTGACATACTTTGGACATGTTGTAAGGAGAGACAGATCTTTGGAGAGGGACATCATGCTTGGTAGGGTGGAGGGACAGCGCAGGAGGGGAAGACCCTCTATGAGGTGGATTGATTCAGTGACTGGGGTAATCGGGATGGGAGTGTCAGAGGCAATGAGATTGGCACAGGATAGAGCACGGTGTAGGGCTGTTGCACATAGGGTCGCTATGAGTTGCAAACGACTCGACGGCACATAACAACAACAACATGATTAACCACCCCTGCATCCATCTTTAGCCCTCTGCTCCCACCCTTCCCCCCTTGGATCCTCATTCATGTTCTATTAATAATGGAATTATACAGTATTTGTCCTTATGAGACTGAGTTAGTTCACTTAGCATAATGCTTTCCAGTCCCTCCCAAGTTAGGTAGTGATTTACAAAATCATTGCACGTATTTATTAATGAAAAACACCAACACAGTATCTGGGGGGAAATTTTCTTTCCACTTGGGTCATGAAAGGATCAGCTCAGAAAGGGCGTCTGCTTTGAGTGCTGTGCTCTTTCAAGCTTTCTTTAAATGAGATCAAATGGAAAGCAGCAACTCAAAGAGTCAAACAAGAAACTTAGAGGGATGCGAGTTTATGTTGATGGAGAAAGAACAATTTGGGAATAGGAGGGAGAGAATGTTGGCACAGGTTAAGGATGTAATAAATATCACTGATGAATTTGTGTGTGGTCTGTCATGTATATTCTCAACAATAAAAAGTAAAATAAATTTGGGGTTTTTCTTAAAATTCTTGAGACAAAAACTGGATAATTCAAATGTGTATGTGTGTGTATTCTGGGAGGTGAACATTAAAGGCAACAAAGTCCATAATTTCGCCTATTATAAAATCTCACATAATACATATATTAAATAGGTGAAAAGATTTGGGGTCATCTACCACAAAGACATTTATTTACTCCCCCTTAGAGACAAAAAATTCCTCATATGCTCTCAGATTTTCACAACAAGAATAGCAAACACAACAAACCCTGACTCTTGCCTGCCCTTCTTTTCTGAACAAAGAAAGAAGCAGGAAACCGTAATCCACAATGTTTCATGGGCATTGTACCCTCTCCTTCTCTCCCTGCCACTTGCATTGAATAGAGGGAGGCTTTTAGGACAGAAGTGGAAAACCTGGGCCCACAACTGAATAAAGGGCACTCCTGCAAATGGGACATGGATAAACAGCTAGACTTGGACTTGTTGTTGTTATGTGCCATCGAGTTGCCTGCGACTCACAGTGATCCTACGTACAACAGCCGTAAACTCTGCCCTATCCTGTGCCAATCTCACCATCACTTGGACTTACTGTCCTTAATAATGTTACTTGACTATGTACCATAAAAAGGACCCAATCTTATCACTCTCTTCTTATCTAAATCCTCAAGGCCAGGCCTGCTTGTTCTGGCCCTGCTATTTCCTCTCACCTCATCTCCTTCCGTGCTCCCCTTTGCTCACTCCATGCCAGATTTTGCCCTTCGAATAAGCCCAACCTCACACCATTTTCATGTGCTGCTCTCTCAGCCACCACCACCACCATGCTGCCTTACCAACTTGATTAGGCTTTAGCTGAAACGTCACACCTGAGAGACACTCTGTCCTACTTAATGTGTCTCCTCCCACACTCCTTTTCTGTCCCATCTCTCTTTCATCAGTAGAACTTATCGATTCCTGAAACAATCTCATTTGTTTCTTAGTTTTCTTCTCTCTTATCTGCTACTCCTTTGTAACAAAAGTTGCTTAAGAACAGGCATCTATCTTGTCATTCTGCTCATGTCTGCCTCTCTGGCGCCCAGGACATTACCTGAGGCACAGAAGTAGGTACTCAACAAAACTATGCTGTAAAAAAATTCTATTGCAATTCAAAGGATTTCAGACATTAATTTGAGAATAAGGATTAAAAATTATCTGGCCAACACACACAGGCTGAACATCCACTCTGCTGTCCACCTGCCCTCACCTCTCAGCCAGTGTTTGTCATGCTCCTTTCCCCCTGCCCCCCTGGAAGCCTTCTGGATATTCTCCTTCCTTCGCCCCTGTCATTTTTTTGCACTCCTCAGCTCATCCTCTCCTGGTTTGGGGACTGTATAATGTTGACTCTGAATGTCAGGTTCCCAGCATGCAGCTTTAAATGTTATAAATGAGTGCAATAAGTAATAATAGAGCCAAGTCTGGTTCCTACCAGTGGATGATTCTCAGATGTATCCTCTGACTTGGAATTCACATCCCCACATGGCTTGAAATCTTCAGAATAGTCCAGCGGAGGTTCAATGTGGAGCCGTGAGCCAGCTTCTGTTCTGATTTGCACAGATTTCTAGACATAAAAAAAAAAATTTAAAAATTACAGACCATTTCAGACAGGGTAGAATGAATGCTTTTATTGCTCTGACGGACATGGACTGATGGACTGGCACTTTAATAGTTGACCACAGGAATAAGCTACAGGAATGGCGATTTGACTTGAGGGCTGTCTGCATAACAGGATGCACACTGGACCATCGGCATATGGGTCACCTCTGCTCACAAGTCCATAGTGCTTCCTACTGGCCCAAAGACGTTCGATTACATTTTCTAAATAATATTTTTATTTTTACTTTGAAATACTTTCTGAGTAGGTTTTCGAAAGTGTTTGTTGTTATTGTTTGCTGCTGCTGCTGGGTCATGAAATCCTGCTGGATCCTCCAGCCCCCACACGATCAGTTCCCATCCCTATGAATGGTTCTGAACTGAACCGCTCTGATCCAACACAAGTCTGACAAACTGCATTTTGCTTCTTGTAGACATTCTCAAGGTGTGTGTGGGTGCATGTGCATACACAAAGAGAGGGAGAGGGAGAGGGAGAGAAAGGGAGTGGAAGCGGGAGCGAGAGCGAGATTGATTCTAGAATGGAAATAATACAGAACCTTCCCCTCATGCTTTGGACTGTGGAAACCTGGGGAGGTGGGAAGCCCTCTCCTTCCAGCACTACGTCACTCTTGGGGAAATACTCTAGGGTCTGGGTGTTATACTGCAAGTTGTCCCCAGTGTTCATTCTGCCTGCTTCAAGAGGTGACATTCCAGCCTTCCTGGCAGCTAAGCTGGACCACTGAGTGAGTGCCTGAGGTGTGAGTAGAACTTTCTCGTCAAAAAAACACAGGCCTTCACGTTGTTCGCTTGGGTCTCCCTGGTGTAGCAGTCAAACCTGCACGCTCATCAGTACGCCCGGTGTGGGAAGTAGGAGAGAGCCCAGCATAGCATTCTTCCTCTGGTTCCTGTAGGTCCCATCACGTGCCTGAACATCAGACCTGCTCGAATCGTAGAAGTGACTGAGTAAAATCTAGAATCTGTAGTGGGCTGCAGCCTCTTTGGCTAAGCACCAGTAAGATGGTTACTTGGCGAGCGCCTGGCTAGAGTTGATACCATATAAGGTGAATAGGTAAACAACCCCACTGTGCCGTGTGCCTGGGGCTCAGCCCAAATGCGACAGTGCGCTGGAATTTTTTACTCTGGGGACCTGACCTTCCTCAAGCTCGACCATCTGATTGCCTCTGGGGCCTCTCAGCAGACTGAGAGCTTCCTGTGCCTCAAACATCCGCAGCTTGGCCAGCCCGGCTGCCCTCCTCACACTACAGCAAACACTTCCTTAGTTCTCCTCTGGGGTCTATTTCCTTCCTCTAGTCAAAGTCCTTAGAAGCAGGAGCGGCACCTACTTCCTAAATAACATGCCTCCGGAGACCCTATGAACTTTGATAAATGTCGATAGTTGTAGAGGCTTCAAGCCTTTTGTTCATAGGGTCGCTATGAGTCGTGTTCAAATTGATGGCAATCAACAACAACAACAACATTCGAAGTTCACATGTGGCCCAAGGACAGTATTAGGATTGAGGCCTGGACACTGTCAGCCCAGCCCAGTCCACTTCCCTCCAACCTCTCTCAGTTGGTGCAGGGCTAGAAAAATACCAAAGACAATGATGTGAACAGGTAGGGACTCCTCTCTTCCCACAGGGAAGCTAAGTTAACAGGAAGGATGCCATGTACTGCTGGGGACCAACCTGATACTCACGCAGACCCAATGGGTTTTCTCAGAATTTCTGGATTCAACTGTGCCACAGAGAAAAACACTACTGAAACTTTCTTTTCCACCTACGTCTGTGTGAGTAGGAGTTCGTGATCTGTGATGGCATTCTGACACGTGACCCATGTCCTCACTCTGTTCTCTCAAAACTTTGCCATCTTCCAAATCTCCACGGATCCAAATTCTATGTAGCTGCAGAGACTCCTTTCACATACCACCTCCTCCAGGAAGCCCTGCTGAGCGTTCCTGCTTCCCTTCACCTTCCTATATGATCATTACTGGTACTTCTCTGTGACAGCGGCTCTGCTCTTTGCATATTCATTATCCTCAGTTACAGACTAGAAGCCGTGGAGGTGGAACATGTCCTGTAAAGATGTTCTCAGCACTGGAGGCCCCTGCAGCCTGGATGGCCATGCTAGCCAGGCTGGGTCTGCCTGTAGGGCTGGAAGGCCACAGATGGAGTTCGGAGAGAGCTGCTGTCTGACTGGTCATCAGGACAGACTTGGCAGACACAGGACATTTCAGCCTCTGTCCTTCAACTCTTGTTCCTAACCAGAATGCAAATGGGATGTTTAGGAATAAAACAGCCCTTTTAAGAGGATGGCAAAGAAGGTCACATGCTCGGGATGGCCGAGGGAGCTCTGCTGGTGTGGCCAGCAGGGAACTGTGCTGTCAACTCAAAGGCCACACCTCTCTGGAGGTTCAAATCCACCAGCGGGTCTGTGGGAGACAGATGGGAGATTTCCTTCTATAGCTTTGGAAAGCCCACTGGAGGGTCAGCTATGAGTCAGTTCCAGTTCAAGAGCAACGAGGTGGGGATATGTGTTGTTCTGGCCAAATGGGAAAACAGAAGGAGCTTAGGTCCCTGGTGCTATCACGCACTCATCCTACCAACCAGGCTGTCTGCGTGCCTGTGTCCAAATGCCTTGCATATATAAAGGAGCGTGCATGCACACACCCATACACACACACGCACAGGCACAAACAATCTAGCTAAACCTCAGTGGGGTCTGCTTACTGCTACGTGTGGTAAACTTCATCCTGGTTGACAAACTTCTTCAGGGTGCATGTCGTCTTTTGGGCTGTATTCGACTTTCTCACACGAGAGTCTGGGATGTAAACTCAGGCAGACAAGGTTGGACTCCTGGAACTGATGTTACTCCCTGCATGACTCGGGGCAAGTCACCCAACCTCTCTGAGCACCATTTCCACATGTGTTAATACAGGAGCGCTGTCGCGCTCTCTGTCCGACTGTCATGAGGACGGCACTCAGCAGAGCAGGCTGAGTCCTGGGCGTGGGGCTCCAGACACAGTACAGTGGGGTTGTACCTGTTCACCCTGTTGTTGTTATCGTATGCTGCTAAGTCAGAAGTGACCCACAGCTGGCCCTCCAGTGGGTTTTCAGAGGCAGTAAATCGCACAGGAGGAGACTGCCCATCCTCCTGCAGACCAGTTGTGGGAGTCAAACTATGTGCCTTTGGGATTGCAGCGCAGCTTCTTACCCCTAGGTCACCAGACCTATTCACTCTATGTGATATTAACTCTAGCCATGAGACCAAACTCCCCTACTTCAATGAGGGCCCCAAAAGCAAGCCAACTAACCATATTATCTAGTACCTAGCCAAAGAAAACCCACCCCAGTGATGGAGTTCAAGCTTGCTGGCTGGGCTGAGTTAGCAAGGCCAGGCGAGGGTGGGGAAAGTAAGGCTCCCAGAGACACAAAACGCAAGAAGACCCTCCCTCTCAGACGCAGACCGGCTGGTGCTCAGACAAACCTGAGGGACAGTGCCCTGGAATTTTTTCTTGGGGGGGCCTGACCTTCCTCCTTTTCACTCATCTGATTGTTTCTGCGGGCTCTCAGCAAATTGAGGCTAATCTACTTCCAACCAACGTTCACACTGGCCCTCCGCTGGGGCTCTCTGTGTGCCCACATTCACACTGGCCCTCTGTGTGCCCCCACGTTCTCACTGGGCCCCACTGGGGCTGTGTGCCCACGTTCACACTGGCACTCCGCTGGGGCTCTCTGTGTGCCCACATTCACACTTGCCCGCCTCTGGGACTCTTTGTGTGCCCCATGTTCACACTGGCCCCCCTCTGGGGCTCTCTGTGTGCCTGACACTTTCCATGGCCTGAGCTCTCTCCAAGGCCGTCAGACTCATTTGCTCCTCACCACAGCCCTGGGAGGTCTGCCCCAGGACCACATGCACGTCCCAGGTGGGAAAGCAAAGCATAAGGTGTGTGTCACCTGCCCAAGATCACACAGCCAGGGCCCCAGAGGCCTCATCTAAACCAGGGATGAGCTGCGACTTCCCATTAAGGGCCAGGGAGCAAATATTTCAGCTCTGTGAGCCATGTGGCCTCTGTCATAACTACTCGACTCAGCTACTGCATCGCGGGCGCAGCCACGAGCAATCCATAAACGATTAAGCGTGGCTGCGTTCCAGTAACACTTTATTTACAAAAACAGGCTGCAACTGGATTTGGCCCACAGCTGTCGTTTGCCATTCCCTGCTCTAAAGCACCCCACGCACACTCTACCGTTCCCGGCAGGCAGGCCTCCAAACGCCTGTGTATGCAGAAGAACAAATATGTCAGCCTGGGCTCCGGGGTCTTCGGGGAGAATTACAGAAACAGAAACAAATCTCAAACTCTGCCATGGCGTCGATTCTAACTTGTGGCAATTTCTAATGTGCAAAAGCTACAGGGGCTGGGCCATGGATCATTCAGGAAAAAGACGGGGATCAGGTAATGGTCTGAGAGGCGGCAGCTAGGGAGTCACCCCATCAGAGAACAGGGAGGAGGAGGTGGTAGGCAGGGGTGGGTGCCACGGACACCCTTCATCTCCAGCACCCGGCTTCCTGGTCCTCCTGACCATCCACCGAGCTGTGATGGGGCTCCAGGTTCAAGTGCACACCACTTCCAGCCTTTGCCAATGCTCTCAAAACATGACCATTGTTCTCAAAGTATCTATTAGCGCCAGCAGTGGGGTCCCTACTTCACAGAACACATAAAACCTGGGCTCCCAGGCCAGAGATCCCCAGACTTCCCTGCCTACGTTCCCATGGAGATGGATTTTCCGTGATACCTCCAGTCAGAGGGCATGGTTCTTCCCTCCCCAGCACCACGTAACATCCCAAAGGCCAGGAGGCTCAGAGATGATAAGGACTGTGCAGCTCAGAGGACCGCCGGGCTGGACTCCTCGTGTGGAAAGGGTGGCCTCACTATCCACTTGGGGCTTTCGAGGGGCCCACTTCCCTCAG